GAGAGAGAGAGAGAGAGAGAGAGAGAGAGAGAGAGAGAGAGAGAGAGTGTTAAGATGACTCTGGGAGAGCTATGAAGACCTGAGCTTGAATTGAGATACTGGGGAGAAATTTCATTGGGTCCTCGTCCTAGTTCAAGTTCAATTACACAAAGAAAGCCTGAAATGTTTCTGTGCCCATTCTTGCTTGTGGAGGGCCTTTTAATTGGCCTGAAATTGTCATCTAGGTATAGATGTTTCTTATAAAAACTCCTTTGTTTATCCCAGTGTGTATCCAGTCAAGATGGACAAGGTGAAATGTATGTAAGGCACAGGTGAAATGACTGTGAGGCAAGCACTCCAGGAGTTTCTAAGTCCAGCAAGCCAGTCTGACACAGGTTCAGTTAGACATTAGTGGAAGCTTGAGGAAAACACAGGCTACACAGCAGGTGGAGGGAATGAGTTCGTTGTTGAAAGACACGCTGAGGTTAAAACACCAACAAAACTAGCAGAGAGGCTGTGTTAGGTGAGAACTGAAGAGTTTATAGTTGTATGTGTAATTAAGAATTATCCCATGGTTCACTTTGGACAGAACAGCTTCATTCAAACATCCATTGCAGAACTGAGATTTCAGTAGGTTGAAAAGGGAGGGCTGGATTTGAAAGGAAAGTAGCATATGTCAACCTCTCTTTCAACAAGGGGTGAAAATACAAATAAGATAGTTACATAGTCAAAGGATCATCAAAAGGCATCTTATTGTTATCCAGATATGTGAGAAGGGTATGGTTGTATATGCCACAAAATGAAGGAGAAGGGAGCAGAGAGGAGGACACAGAATCTGAGTGTAGGACAAGGAATTGATGAAGGAAAGGGTGGCTGCCCATGTTATATGTAGAGTACAGAGGATTGAATTCTGTAGACCATCACATAGAACAAGAAGAGTGAAGAGGGCCTTGGGTTAACTCTTCAAGCATCTTCAGTGAGGTAGCAATGACGCTAAGGCAGATCTCAATGAAAGAGCTACCACTGGGGTAATAACTGTCAGCTTGTGTCCAAGCTACTGACACTTGTATAAGTGATAATTTCACAGTCTTCAAGACAATGACTGGGAGGGAAATATGAGTAATGCCTCCATTTTTAATCTGTGAAATGGTTGTCCTTTGTCTTCAGTGATATTGTGAAGATTCAGTGGGTTCAAGCCAGTGGAAGACTTTATGCCATATTTTGTCTATGATAGGAATTTATTAAAAGGTGATTGTATTTTAAATCATGAGAGACATATCAATTCCATTTCTCTTAAAATTGTGTATGAAACCCATTCCTATATAATGTAGAAAAGTATAAATCCTGCTGGTGCATGTGCTAAACGAGAGAGGGAGGGAGGGGTGAGGGACAGAGGAAAGGGGATGGGGAGAGGGAGGGGGAGAATAAGGGAAAGAGAGAGAGGGAGAGAGAAAATGTGATTTAAATGTTGACTTTTTCTAGACTTAAGAAGCTACAAGAAAAGTGGCAGATAAAGGGGGACATTTTTCTATAAGGACCATCTGAGAGTAGTGTCATGAGCAAAGTAGAAAGCATGAACCATGTGCTGGATTATCATCGAGAAACAGGCAACAATGAGGTATTAAATGGAGGGGTTGTTGTGAGGAAGCAAAACACGTCCCCTTTATGAGATAGGTCAAAATAGCAAGAATTGGTGAAGCCAAACAGAAATTTACAGCTGGATTTTATTCATTAGTTTTATTTCATGACCATCAGAGTTTTCAGCTTGAATGGAAATGTGCTCTGCATTTGTAGGGTAGTTCATTTGGGCCTTGAGAGGTGAGAGTCATATGCTGACTACCCGAAATGAAACACACAGAAGAATAGAAAACATTTCTAGTGTATCATGACATTGGGAGTTGCAAGGTCAAAGTAGAATTGTGAACATCTCATTGACAGCAGTGCTTTATTCTCCACCAGTGCATTCTCTGCAGTTTGCACAAAGGAAGGGAGAAAGTGGAGAGCTGGGACAATTCTTTGGTGAAGATGGGCAAGATTAAAAAATGGTAATACCAGGCAGTAATGGTAACACACACACACACACACACACACACACACAAACCTACAATCCCAGCACTTAAGAGGCAGAGGCAGGCAAATTTCAAATATGCACACACAAGAATATGATAACTACCATCTCTTTGGCAATTGATTTGTGTCAGGAGTTTTACCTAAGAGCGTAACATGGCCATTTGCTTCAGTCCTGCATATGACAGGTGTTGTATTGCCACTTTGTAAGGACACTGGGGCTCACAAAGGTTTAACAAGTTCTCCAGCATCATCCTGAATGGCAAAATGAGAATTATAATCGTGTTGGAGTTAAAGTGTACAGAGAGATGCTCTGGAAGATTCTGAGCATGTAAACTGAAGCTCATGAATCCAGTAAAGATCTAAAGAGACCATCAATACATATTAGAGTGGAGAGAGGCCCAGAAGTCCTTCATTCATTCACTAATAGGTATTTTTGTAGACCTTTGTGCCAAGAACTGTGCTACACACAGTGAATACAACTAAAGTGGTGAACTTGATGTTCCTTTGAACGATGTCACTCCTGGGAACATCATTAACTAAACTTATATCAATTTGCTCTAATAATCTTCAGCACGTTATATTTAATGTTAAATTTGTATAGTGTGACTGTAGAGAGAACTGGCTGGAGTCCCTCAAATGAAGAAAAACAGGCATCTCAAGAGAAGCCTCTGTTTTCATTATGGTAGATCATATAAATAACCGAGGGCATCAGCAGTGCCTTCATATCATACAGAGATTAATAAGACATTCATTCTCTATTTTATGAGATTATATTTTGGGTTCAATAAGTAGTGAGGATTTCTGTCTTCACACATCTACTCATAAGGCATCACCCAGATATTCGCTGGCATCAGTTACACCCGGCTTTGTAGCTGCTACCCAAGCACAGCGGCATAAAACACCTTTGTTATTGCTTCCAGGTCGACCAGCTGTCTGAGTGGTTCTGTGAATCTTGGGGACTTCACTTCTCTGTCAGCTGGTAGTTTTGGTAGACTGGGTAGTTCCAGAGAGTTTTGTTTTTATTCTCTCCTTGTTGTAATTACTTATTTGCTATTTACCTGATTTCTACAATCCTGGTCTTTTCCCCTTAGTAATCTCATTGTGTGTCAGGTAGTAGGCTATGGCATGCAGGCAAGAGCGC